GCACTTGCGACCACTCGGCCAACGAGACAGGCAACTGGTACTATTAATCTAAAAATCTAATATTACTTTGCGCGATTCGAGTATGAAGGTGAAATGTCGTCGTGACCAGAGGTTTAAGGCGCCCTCTTCTCATGCATGAGGACGCAGGTTCGAACGGCAAGTACCAATGTGACTATTTCCGAGTTATATGTACTTTCTAAGACAATCTAGACACCACTGGCAAACGGTGAAGGAAAACATCGTGAGGAAACCTGGACTTATAATTTCTAATTATAAGTTTGTAATCGCCAACCCGCATTGAGCAAGCGTGGTGGTTAATGCTCAAACCTTCTCCGTGTGAGAAGAGGCTTTGCTCAGCAGTGGCTGCTTATAGGCTGTTGGTGTTATTGGGTATGAAGTTGTATAAAAACTTTTCACATAAAATGGCGAAGAAATTTTGTTATATCAGACACCTTCAGACTATGCAATTGCAGAGAATGTACAAAAATTCGAAAAAAAAAATATCTCATCGCCCGACACTAGAATCTAAGAAACTATTAGCCAGATACTTAAACGCTATTTAATTTGAAATCGCCCTTAAGTATAGTTGTAATATAACATAACATCACGCCTTTTATCCCCGAAGGGGTAGGCAGAGGTGCACATTATGCCACTGTACTGCCTCGCTGGCCGAGTGGTCGCAAGTGCGATTGCCGGGTCGGGCAAAGTAGGTATTACTGGGTTTTAAAAAAAATCTCAGTCATAGCACGGAGTCTGGAATTGTGCCCGGTATATGGCAATAGGCTCACCCCCTATTACATGGAACTCATAACATAAATAGTGAAAAATGGGTGTTACCATACATCACGGCTGTTATCCCCGAAGACGTAGGCAGAAGTGCACATTTACGGCACTTAATGCCACTGTACGTAACATTGTACGCTGTTAACTATAGTTCTGTCTCTAAAAATTGTAGAATGACAGAGATGGAACGATATTTCAGTACAATGTAATATTGAGTAGCCTTTCAGTATTAGGGTGTATGCGCTTGACAGTCGCCCAACCACTCGTCAATCGATCTCAATATTCACATAAAGTGATTAAGTATATAGAAAATACTTTAACCCCTTAAAAATTGTTGAAAATCATCCCCTAAATTTGTTCATACAAAAGTAGTCTCTAACCCGCGTGCGACCGCGCACGCTGCTCATGAGGAAGAACCCCTCCGTGGTTCGAAACTAGTAGAGCTTTTCTCAGTACATTCACGTGAGTAACCCGCGTTTTTACTTAATTTAGTATGTCTCACGATAGTTATTATAAAAACAGTCTCTAAACATTGGAAGTAAGGTCTATAATGTAGTCAGTGGAGAGTGGTCACCGGTGACGGTGGGGATATACGGGTTAACTTGTATACTCACCCAATATGATTTCGTTATTAAAAAAATACGTTTGTTCCTGCTGTTCCCCCTCGTCCTCCACCTCCTCCTCATAATGCAATGGCTCCTCATTATCCTCTGTATTATCAAAACTATACTCATACTGATATAGCCCTTCTGGATTATCTACGGGCGCTTCATAGTGTTCTGAAAAATAAGATATATCGCTATCTTTAAAAAACTAGTGAGAGAACACTACCTTTCCTCCTGATATGTAAATTTTCTTCATTTATATGTATAATTTATAATTTGTATGTATTTATTTATTTACTTATTGTATGTAGTTGTTAGGTTATTTATCTGTTTAGTTTTAAGTCTGTTTCCTATCCCAATTTTTTATTTGTTGCTACACACTGTGTCACTATATTATTATTACTTTTCCTGCTCCAGGTCCACAGGAAGAAATTCCAATAGGAATAGGTGGTACCTTTGTACTTTAATTTTATGTATGTGTTGTCCTTTATGTTGTATGCGTGTACATAAATAAATAATAAATAAATAAAAATATATTATTTTATAACAACTGATTCAGGGATTGGGGAGATTGGGGAAGAGGGAAGGGTAATCGGGCCTCTGGTAACATTACCAATCCTTAAATCCCTAATCCCCTAAAGGCCGATAACGCACTTGTAACGCCTCTGGTTCTGGGTGTCCATGTGCGACGCTGATTGCTTACCATCAGGTGATCCGTCTGCTCGTTTACCGGCTTATACCATGAAAACTTACCTTCAACCACTCCATCATCATTGTCAACTATCTCAATCTTCACCCTGGACAGGTCGGGGAAGATGCTCTTTATCCGAGGATTGTCCAGAACATCATGTTCCTCTATATCTATGTCGTCATCCATCGTGCGATGTTCTGAGGAGAAGAAAACAAGTATTTTTAGATACGGTATAAAATTTTAGCACCAGATGGACAGACGACCTGATTAAGGCCGCAGGGAGCCGCTGGATGCAGGTCGCTTCCAACCGGCCTATCTGGAAGTCATTGGGGGAGGCCTACGTTTAGCAGTGGACACCCTATAGCTGTCAAAGTCGAAGTCAAAGACAAAATCATTTATTTCAATTAGACCAGAGAGGCACCTTTGAACGTTAACAATAAAATTAAAAGTGAAGCTATTTGCTCATTCCAAGGTGTAGATTCCTATGGAGAATAACGAGCAAGAAACTCCATAGGTTACTCTTTTTCAATCAGGTTCACAATACAATTCTCTGGTTACATAGTTTTGCTGTTTGGATTGTGCGAGGACAATGTAACACTAAAATCTAGACAAAGTGATCGAAAAAGAAAATAACCTTTATATAATAACCGCACTTTATGCGCGGCCCTGATTGCTTACTGATCACAAAAACATCACACTATGATCAATAGAACAGTAGGTGAAACCACGCTAAGTAGCTAGCTAATAAAGAGTTGCTTTCTACTATAGTACTAGTCAAATATAAAGTGTTCCTTCCTGGGTGCTTACTCTTGACACCAGTCTCAATGTCAATGCAATTAAATCCAATCTCAATATTTTTTTATATTTAATAGGCTGACATTTGACCACTATCTCGCCTGGTGGTAAGCGATGATGCGGTCTACGATGGAGCACGTCTTTCATAATTATTTAATGTCAACTATACAACCCCTATTGTAGCTGTTAAAATATCATTCAGAGTACGGAATATAAAGCCAAACTCAATACCATTTAGTTCATTCAATATCCACGCAATACGGATGCAATGGATGCTAGTGTCACAACTCAAAAGTATAAAATTTCACAATACCAATGTCGATAGATAAGAATAGGGTTTAATAGTAAGCCCCTGTGCCTTCAATCCTTACTAATATTATAAATCGAAAAGTGAGTTTGTTTGTTTGTTTGTTCCGCTTTCACGCCGTAACTACTAAACCGATTGCTTTGAATTTTTCCAGATGTAAAGTTAGAAGTCTGGATTAACTCGTCGAGTACCGGTTTTGTAGACACAATTATAGAACAATAGGTTGCGGTCACCGGTGACCGCTTGGTGTTTGACAGTTTAAATAATAGGGTACTTTTTATTCCGGAAAAATTTGATATTCCCGACAGAAAATAAAAGTATTTGTATAGATGGCGCTGTGTGTATATGTCACATAGGCTACTTTTTATCCTTTTGTGACGCGAGCGAAGCCGCGGGTGAAAGTTAGTATTTTATATTTAAAAGATTCCACTCAAGTAAGTCTCTATTTCAACATACATTGTACTTTCTCAAAAATAAAAGACCTACCATCTTGAGCTTGCCTTGTAAAAAGAAATTTGGTAAATTAATTTATTCTAAATAGTCAGGAGAACGATTTTCTAAACCCCGTTTTTATTTTCATTGATTATCTAATATGGAAATATGTGAAATCGCTATCCAAACTATATATATACCCTCGCGGGCTTATTAAATTTCTTACAAAAGCTGGAGGACCTGAAACATATTTTCAGTTGTATAATGACGTTTAACATTGTATTCTTTACTCACAGATACAACTTGTAGACAATTCATACACTGAATTTTATTATTGTTGTTGAGATTTATTGTACCTCATATGCATTCAAGCGGTTAAACTATTAAGTGTAAGATTAAGTATATTAGTTAAGGATATTCATAGCTTAAAGGGGAGGGATGTTACGTATGTCTGTATAAATGCAAAGGTAGAATGCAGGCTGCTCCTCGCTTCTCCGCACCACTATGAAGTTTTAGAAAAAAAACCAGTGTACAACTGACTAGTGAGTTTAATTGGTGTGCGCGTTGTTCCCTTACATCCATCCATCCATCCCCTAAATTTGGTCATACAAAAGTATTCTCTAAACATTAGAAATAAGGTCTATAATTAAAGATGGGTTAATGCCCTGGCATATTGGGCGCATTGAATAAACGCCGCATAAATGCCCATAAATGCCCAATAAATGCCTTTTGCTTGGGCAAAAACTCTAATAGAACTTTTTAAATTTTTTCATTCTAATAGCTATATTTGAATGTGCGGAAAAGGCAAATTTACTAAAACATATTGGATTATAGCTAATATATCGCAATAAACCAGAAATTGGTCCTGGAAAAGTTTTTCGAAAAATTAAATTTTAAGCTACCAACTCAGATGGCTCTTGCAACAAAGTATTTGGAAAAACTTTACAATGAATTGCATAAAGAATTATCTGACGACATAACAAAATCACCATTTTTTCACGTTCAGTGGTGACGGATGGAGTAAAGTTAGAAATGAGGGAATTATATTTTTTTTAATATGTAAACCAGAAACCATATTCGTCAAGAGCTTAAACACGGAAGATAATCTGCACTCCAGTGAATATTTGGCTACAGAAATCGAAAATGTTATTAAAATTTATAATGAGAAAAAAACTTTCGGAATCGGAGATCGGAGACGATGCTAGAAATTTGCAAAGGGCTTTTGAAATTTTGGGAAGAAAATATCGGTAGATAGTGCCTCTAAATTGCGCAGCACATAGCCTAAATTTAATATGCGCAGATGCCATGAAAGTCAGTGTCATTCAAGCTTGTATTGATCTTGCAACAGAAGTTATAAAGTGCATTAAAGAATTCAAATTTTGAGCGCACCTTTAAGAAAAATTCGGAAAGACAAGGAAATGCATGGTGGAACCTTGAAATTACCATGTAACACTAGATGGGGGAGTCATGTGGCGGCTTTAAAAAGTCTGAAAGTCAATAAGGCAGCACTTTAAATTCTCGCCGTCCATAAACATACCCAACCATCAGACGTCAAAAGTACGATTCTCGACGATGGTTTTTGGACTATGGTTGAACAATGTCTTAGTATAATGGAACAAACCACACAAACGATCTTTGAATTTGAGGGTGATAATTATAACATCAGTAAAGTTTATATTATGACCTTCAAAAATATATTATCAAAATTGTTATTTGCTTGCACTTCGACAACTATTCTGGAAACTTCTGATATAGAACGTTTGAAGACTGCAGTAGAACATAGAACTACACAAGTTCTCAAACCCATACACTACGCTGCACATATGCTGGACTCTAAAGCTGAAGGACATGAACTCACTCAGCATCAAGAGATGGAAGCGATGGAGTTTATACAGAACATAGCGGTTTTTTTGAATTTAGATTATCTGGTTGATCTTGCCCAATATAGAGCGAGAGTTGGTTTATGGGGAAAAGAATTCATATGGAAAGCTACAGAAAAGGTAGATGCCGTATTGTGGTGGAAAGGAATTTGTTGGTTCCTTGCCGCTAAGTAAAGTGGCATCTTGACTGCACCTTGCACATCTGCGGCTACGGAACGCTCGTTTAGCATCCATGGTTTCCTACACAGTGCTAAACGAAATCGCCTTACTACAGAATGAGCAGCTCAAATCACATCTTTGGCATACAGTTGGAACTTAAAGAAAAACAATGATCCATCTAAAAGTACCGAATTGTCCAATGTTAACGATTTTGAAACGGAAATCGACGATTCTTTTAGCGATGATTATGACAGTCAAGATGAATCTAACTCGAATCAATTCAATACGCCTGAGGATTTTGATTCCCGCCCATCAACATCCACTTCAACAAACCGAAACCTAGAATTTGTTGAAGTTGCATCTAATATCAACTTTAGTGATGATGATGATGATGATGATGACTGAAGCTATCTACGTTGTATTAAGCGATTTCATTACCTATTATTAGTTTAAGTAATAGACATAAAAAGCCAAAATTTTAGGACCATGGTGATGGTAAAAATTGTCAAATATTTTATTTTATTCGGAAATCTTACAGCGTAAGAACATACATACTATATTACTTACTTATGATTATTGTCGTATCAAAGTCAATTTTTATGAAACTTCACTTCATTTTCATTTTACTAGTGTTAAAATTATATTTTCTAAAATTACGTAGGTATTCGAATTTTCAACAACAAGACTGATTATCTTATGACTGAATATTTGATTAAAATTTTAATTTACAAAATACCTACTGACATTAAGCTTTATTTTAAGTTCCTGCTTTATTTTTTACAAAACATAGTTATTCATTTTTATGCCCAGTGATCGGGCATTTATTTGGGCGTAAACTCATTAATGCCCAATATGCCAAGTTTATGCCCATTTTGTCCATATTTGTTTTTGCCCTCGACCCATCTCTATCTATAATGTAATGTAATATTAGTGGAAAGCGGTCAACGGTGACCGCTTGGGTTTATATGGGTTAAATAAGTTGTCTCTTATTATGTTATTTACTTTTTACTTGGGTATGTATGTGTATAGTACTATTATATGGATGTATGTGTACATATATATTTATGACTGTATATATTATTATCTTTATTATTAAAAGATCTATATTATTAAAACATTTATATATAAGATCTATATTTTTAAAAGAGTAACGAATGGAGTTTCTTGCTCGTTCTTCGCCACTCGAATCAACATTTTGGAGCGAGTGCCTAGCTTCACTGACGGACAGACTGACAGACTATTATATATTTCATATTTGTTGACGTTTCAAAAGTACCAAATTATGGTTTAATTGAAATAAATGCTTTTGAGTTTTGAGTTTGAGTTTATCTAAGTAAGTATCTATACATAGTTATATTTATTATTCATATTTGCTTAGTCACCTGCCACTTTCATATCTGCACCACCTTAAGGTCAACTGTGAGACAATGCCCAACGCATTAAGTCCACCTGTACATTTGTTAATGTACTAAGTCTTAAATAAATTAATTAATTAAAATGTGTGTCCTGTGCCACATGAGAACAAGCCACACGGGCCTTTGTATGGACAGCACTGGTGTAGAAAACTTAACTAGGTATATTGTATTAGTTTCCGCAAGCAGCTTCATATATTATGTGTCCAGACTACAATTAACTGTCCCAATACTAAATTTCATCAGTTCAGAAGTGTTTTTATGAAAGAGTAACAAACATACATCAATACAAGGTTTTCCTTTGAATATTATGATCTTTTTCTCCTATATCTCTTCTTGAATCATCTTCTTAGCCAAACTTATTACTGATCGAATTCGAAACTCCTTGCTCGACCCTAGTACTTGCGGTCACTCGACCAACAAGGCGTTAGAAGCAGTGTTTTGGCAATAAACGTGTTAATTTTATCGTCCGCGAAAAATACCACGACATGACATTTCAGTGTCCGTAAAAATTAAAAATATGTGAATTTTTATTTTATAATGCCTAATTGTTTAAACTTAGTAATATTCTTTATTGTATGTTTGTAAATAATACGAAACATATTCGAAGAAATTATTACAAATGGAATTTTCCAAAAAACAATCGAAATTATGTAGGATAAGTGTAAATTTTAAGGTTTTTGAGCGCAAATAGTTGGAAAAATTAATTGTTTATATGTAAAAATACGAAATTCTTATATTACATTGGATTATAAAGAAAAACCGTTACATTGAATTATAAGATAAAATTGTTGAAGTAGGTAAGGTTACCTTTAGAGTTCAACCACTGAATAATCACACATTATTCTCTTTAATACTAAAACGGAACACACACTCACACTTATTATTGTTTTAATTTTATTTAAATACACAATATACACATAGAAATTAGAAAAATAATGATATAAAACCACTTTCGTAGCAAAATGAACTGCCAAACTCGGAAAGTTCAATGAACGAATCAACGAATATGAAATGAAATTGAATGAGTGAATGCGTTGTTAATAATGTTGCCATTGCAATTTTTATTTGACCTAGTTTTTAGAAAGTTTGTTTCACGTTTGTTTGCTCAAGTTTTCGCTGGTATTAAACGTAATAAAAAACAAAATAAAAAAAATATGACGACAACGCGGGAATATTGAAAAGATGTATATATAGTGCACAGCAGATTAATAGCATGCGCTACATTAATAAAGCCAAAAATACATGTAAGGCAGCATGGAACAGAGACAAACAATATGACATGTAGTTCTGAAATTGACATTATTAGTATTAATGGTAAAAACGTAGACAGAGAACTGTCTACGGATAAAAAGTATAACAACCCAAACCAAATTTGTAATTTTTTTAACGAATATTTTGTATCCCTACCCAATTAAACAAAAACTACTCATAAAGATATCCAGGACACTAAAATAACAACTCCTCAAAATTCAAATAGTATTTTTCTTACACCAGTAGATTAATCCGATGTTTACAAGATAATCCATAATTTAAGAAACACAAACTCGACTGGTTATAACGAATTAAGCACTAAAGTGTTAAAAAGAAATGCAAAGAGTCTAACATCACCTTTAGGCTTTAACTTTCAATATAAACCTATCCCTAACAGAAGGGGAAAACCCTTCTGTTATCGTTTAAAAACGTCAGTTGTAAAACCTACATATAAGAAAGGTGACAAAACGGACATGAGCAATTACCGTCCAATAACAATCCCATTTTGTGGAAAATAATTGAAACAGTTGTGTGTGTGTATAAAAAATTAAAAAGGAACAATTCGGTTTTAGGAGTAATATAATCATGTTGCTTAAATATTTGTATAGTTTAAAACTTTGCACAATTTATTGTAAATGTGAGAGCCCTGTAATTAATTAAATCAAATTAGATTTTATAGATTAGTAGAATGCATAAATGCATGTCAGCTTGGAGCTGTCATGCTCACTCAAAGATCTCGTTGGCGGTGGCACGTGCATTGGTTCGCTCGATTCCCTCGATTAGACTCGACTCCTACAAAGTGGTTGAGTTGGGCGGTGCTGGGGTACGCCAAATGTACGATTGGAACTGGTCAGCTCCAGAGTGGTTTGATTTGATTTGATTTGATTTATTTCTCCTATTTCTTCTGCGAGTGCTGAACTGCGAGTTTTAATGAATGACAATCGATTTCATAAATCATTGAAAATGGCAATCATTAAAATAAAAAGCTTGGTACCCAGTACTAATTTTACTAAAAAATATAAAAGTTTTGATTGTGGGCACATTGTTTGCATAGATTTATAAATATACATAGATGTCTGGCTATTGTCTACGGGTAGAATTTAGGATCCATCTTGACGGTAAATTCATAAACATACTGTTGTTTCTTTTTTACTTATGTCTCTTTGTTTATGCAGAAAGAGACAACACATTATTGTCATTCTGGCCATAATTTTTTGACGTCATCAGAAAAACCTAGTTGTGCCAAATTGGCCATCTTAGTCCCTGTTATCAGTGCATGTCAGTGGTACATCAGCTGTCAAAGCATTGGTCAACAATATTTTTTTACGAAAATTTGTAGAATTCCTGTTGTTTTTGTGCGTGGTAAACAAAGAAATTATTGGTTAGTGAGAAGAACTATGCCCGGGTGCAGTGTTATTGGATGTAGCACTAAAAATATTAGTAAACCGGCAGGTGTAACATTACATCGGTAAGTACTGTTATTTTTCATTAAAATATCTCTGTTTTTCAAACTATTCAAGTGTGGTTGCTGCAAATTGACTAAATACAATACTTTTCTAACTAATGCAGTGCTTATTTTCATTAATTTTAGTTGAAATACGTCTAAAACAATTTTCATTAAAAAATAGTGATGTACATGATTGTTCCCGTATCGATAATTTTATCGTACATAATAAATGCGTCAAAAGTAGAACAAAGAACTATACTAAATTCTGAATGATAAAGTGCATTAATTTGACATAATGACAAAATACAAAAAACATTAAGTACTCGTCAAAAATTTCATTTTATCGACAAAATTCCACCATCGTCAATACCTACGTAATGTAATAAATA